ACCGATTTCCATTATCTTCTATGTCTTCATTCCAGTCTAAACCACTGCCCTATCGACAAAGTCTCGAAACGGAACCAAATGTTTTAGCAATTGGTCCATATCATCTGGCATCTTGTGTAGATAAACATGTCTGGTTTTATGATTTAGGTAAAAGTCTAGGAGATCAGCCACAACCTTTAAGTGAAAGAGACTTCTCACAGACGGTGGAAGACATAAAACTAAATGCAGATTATTGTGCAGTCTTCTGTCCACCACAACTAATGCTACAAGCTATTGTCACAGACAATCCCAATGTAAAAGACAAATTAATGCAAATGTTTCCGAATGCAGTGCCTACATTAAATGATGCTGTTATCACGTGTTTTGGACTAACGCAGGAATATCTAATATTTGCTACAGATGTAAGAAATGTTCTCGGATTAATCAAATTATATTTTTAATTTAAATTTTCTATAAACAGATTGGCCATCTAGTGTATTTTTCTTTGGAAAAATGGGAAATCTGCACCATGTATCGCCACAATATGGGCTTGACAAAAATGTTTACCGATAACGAGGGCACAAAATTAATTTTTATCGATGATCATGGCCAGGGTTATGTTTTCTTGCCCGCCTTAGAAGAGGCCATATTAATAGCAGACTTTCCCAAAAACTGTTTGGTTTGTTTGTGGGATTTGGCGCAACCTAACCATTTTATCAGCTACGATGGCAAATTGGTTTATACTCATGTATTTGTACGCTATTCCGTTTATGGTAAACACACTTTAAAGGCAGGAGAAACGAAGTTAAATGTCTCACAGATACCTTTAATGTTGTGTGATGGTGAAATGGTTTTACACATAGATGGTGGTCAATATGCTACACAATCTTTGGCCACTCACTTGGTATTACCCGGTACTAGTCAAAATGGTAATTTAAAGAATTTCTTGAATTTACGCAAATATTCAGAGGCTTTTAAGGTGTGCGATAGGATTAATTTAAAGGGTTCTTGGATGGAATTTGCCAAGCAGGCTTTGGAAGATTTGGAACCTACTACAGGTTTGTATATCTAGTATATGTTGAGGCTACAATTATTGTTTAATTTCTTTTCAGCTTTGAGGGCTTATCGCAAAATTGGTGATGTGTCTATGGTTAATGTTTTGGAGGATATACGCTATTTGGAGGATGTTTATTTAATAAGCGGTTTTTGTTGTCTTCTACTGGAGAAATACGAAGAAGCCAAAGAGTTTTTCTTAAAAGGCTCCTATACCAAAGATGCTTTAGATATTTGCCGTGATCTTTTGCAATGGGAACAGGCTTTGTTGTTGGCTCATAAATACGAACCGAATGAGGTACCATTTATAGCACGTGAATATGCCCAGCAATTGGAATTTAAGTAAGTATTTGAATGAGTAGATAGACAGATAGATAGATAGATAGATAGATAGATAGATAGATAGATAGATAGATAGATAGATAGATAGATAGATAGATAGATAGATAGATAGATTAGATAGATAGATAGATAGATAGATAGATAGATAGATAGATAGATAGATAGATAGATAGATAGATAGATAGATAGATAGATAGATAGATAGATAGATAGATAGATAGATAGATAGATAGATAGATAGATAGATAGATAGATAGATAGATAGATAGATAGATAGATAGATAGATAGATAGATAGATAGATAGATAGATAGATAGATAGATAGATAGATAGATAGATAGATAGATAGATAGATAGATAGATAGATAGATAGATAGTAGATAGATAGATAGATAGATAGATAGATAGATAGATAGATAGATAGATAGATAGATAGATAGATAGATAGATAGATAGATAGATAGATAGATAGATAGATAGATAGATAGATAGATAGATAGATAGATAGATAGATAGATAGATAGATAGATAGATAGATAGATAGATAGATAGATAGATAGATAGATAGATAGATAGATAGATAGATAGATAGATAGATAGATAGATAGATAGATAGATAGATAGATAGATAGATAGATAGATAGATAGATAGATAGATAGATAGATAGATAGATAGATAGATAGATAGATAGATAGATAGATAGATAGATAGATAGATAGATAGATGGATTGAAGAATGGATGGATGGATAGTGGGAATTCATTACACTATGTCGGGCTGACAGATTAGAAGACCCACTAATACTTTTCCTTCTCTTTTAGTGGCAACTACGCTGATGCTTTATATCACTACGAAAAGGTTACAAAGAGGATTTGATTGATAACACCGAAATACAACAATTAGTTAATACCTCTCCAGAGTATGAAGAACATGTGCGTCTATGTAAAATGGGTATAGCCAGGACATCCATAAGAGCAGGTGATTTTAGAAGAGGGGTAAGTATAATCAAAGCAAAACATTAGGCAATCACTATACAATAAAATTTTCTCCCTTTAGATCCAATATGCTGTCGAACTCAATGACAAACAATTGCTTTACGACTGTGCTGAGCTGTTAGCCACCGTAGGACACATAACCGAGACAGCCGGCCTTTACGAACGTGGTGAATACTACGATGAGGCCTGCTCACATTATATCGCACTCAAAATGTGGAATAAAGCCAATCAAATTTTACCAAATGTAAAATCTACCAAATTACATGCTTTATATGCAAAAGCCAAAGAATCAGATGGTCAATTTGAAGAGGCCATAAATAGTTATCGCATAGCAGGAGATTTAGATGCTTGTGTGCGTATCTACCTCGATCATTTGTGTGATCCGCATGCAGCATCGGAAATTGTCTTAGAATCACGCTCTATGGAAAGTGCTAAACTATTGGCGAAATTCTATCAGAAAATCGGTGATATAGAACAGGCTTTACAGTTCCTGGTTTTATGTGGCTGTGTGGAGGAAGCTTTCTCTCTAGCCCAGAGGCATAATAAACTTAAACGACATGGTGAATTGCTGGAGAGATATGAAAATGCTAAATCTAGTGATTATTTGGCTTTGGCTCAGTATTTTGAGGGAGAAAAGTATACTTTGTTGGCGGGAAAATATTACTTTTTGGCACGCGAATTTACCAAAGCCTTAAGGTTTCTTTTAAAAGCCTCCTCCTTTAGTAATGAAGAATCTCAGGCCTTATCTATGGCCATAGATTGTGTGGCCACTTCGAATAATGAACAGCTGGCTACTCAGCTTATAGAGTTTTTATTGGGTGAAGTAGATGGTTCACCCAAAGATCCTCGCTATTTGTTTAGACTGTATATGGCGCGACGGCACTATAAAGATGCTGCTAAAACCGCAGTCATAATAGCCAACCAAGAGCAGTTATCTGGCAACTATAAAGCGGCTAGAGATTTGTTATATTCCATGTATCAGGAACTAAGGCGTAATAATCTTTCGGTAACAGCCGAAATGAGACATAATTTAATATTATTGCACCGTTATACTTTAGTGAGAATCCATGTAAAACTGGGTAATCATTTGCTGGCTGCTAAATTGCTGGTTCAAGTAGCGGCCAATATATCACAGTTTCCTTTGCGTAAGTTTTTAAAGGAATTTTAGGTGAAGTTGTAATTAACGATTGTTTTTAATTACAGATATTGTACCCATCTTAACCTCCACCGTTATAGAATGTCATCGTTCTGGCTTAAAAAAGTCCGCATTTATGTATGCCTCCATGTTAATGCGTCCGGAGTATCGCAATAGTCTCGACTCGCGATATGCTAAAAAGATAGAGTCAATAGTACGCAAGGCCCCCAAAGGTATTAAAAACTTTCGTGATGAAATCGATGATGAGACCATGGAATGTCCCATCTGTGATACAAATCTACCCAATATGGAGGTGACTTGTTATAGTTGTAAGACCACATTACCCATTTGTATTGCCACCGGCCAGCATATAATCAAACAGCATATGACCTCGTGCCCTTCGTGTGATTTTCCCTGTTTTAGAGCGGAAATGGAAAAGTAAGTTTTTTAATAAAAATTTAAAACATAGTTTAATCTGTTATCCTTTTAATTCCAGTATTTTATCTGAGCTTAACGAATGTCCCATGTGTGAAGAAAATGTTGATCCTCAAAATCTTTTGGATGTTGAAGATATACGTCCTTATATATTGGCTTCTTCTTAGTAAATTGTTTCGTGACTGGCATAAATATTTTACAGATAGTATCTCAATTTTTTTAGTACTTAGTATTTATTATATATTTTTTGCGTAATTTTTTTTTAGTTTAAGCTAATTCAATTGACACCAAATATAAGTTAAGTATAGCAATTTTAATTTTAATCAAATTGTTTCCTTTGGGATACCTGTAAAGGGTATGTGTCAGGGTATTAAAACTCCTTAACCGAACAACTTGTCGATTATTCCTCCAGATGTTCTCGGATGAGTCCATTTAATCTAGTAAAAAGTAGTCAAACCAGGGCCGTACAGACAGAGAAAGTAACTGATGTTCCCTTTTAACACTTATTCTTGGCCACTTCTACAGAAGTCGTTAAAAAGTGACCAAAGTAATATAACTTAACTGAAGTTGGAAGGCTTTTTTTTGTGGAACTGAAACCTAAATACCTATTACCAACTTTACTCTGCCTTTGAATAGCCATAACCTGGACTGAGAAACATCCTTCCGTCAACTATAACTAAATTCTTGATTTCCTTCTCACTCCTCTATTGACGCGCTACAAATCAGCAAATTGTCATTAGCAAATTCTTCTTCTCTTTGTTTTCTCTCAAGGAAAAAATCGGCAAGAATCATCGAATCTTCAATTTAATTCCAGTATAGGACGGATGTGATTCTTGTTTGCTATATAACTTATTACGATGTTTTATTAATGTCGTTTTAGGATAATTACCCCATTCCCGTTCCAATTTTTTTAATTTTATTTAATATTGATTTTTATTGAGAACAAAAATAAATCCCTTTTGTAAATGTTCTTAAACTCAGCAGGTTCACACTTATACACACTTCAACTTTCACTCACTACTTCCAAACTGCACAAATACCTTCACGAAACAAGCTTTCCATAATCGTCAATAAATAAGTTTTATTATACACAACAATTCTGAATAAATAACATTTTTTGGCCACTTCCATTTATGCTTCCTTCTCATTCGTCAATAAATAAAATATTTTCGAACAAATAACTTAATTTTCGTCCACTCATTTTTACTTAATTTCCATGATGCAATTAGGCAACTTTGCCTTCAAATCTTGCTCGACCTTTTTCAAATCCTTAACATAACGCATTTCGAATATCTTTAACAATTCCAAATTTGTCAATTCTCCAATAACCATTAAGCCCTCATCACTGATGTTATCACAAGCCGAAACCTGCAATACCTTTAAAGTTTCCTTTAAATGCAACAATCCCTGTAAACCATCCGATTCCAAATGTTTACACTCATGCAATATAACGGTATCAATATGATTACAGCCCTTAAAATGTTCCAATCCAATTTTCATAATCGAAGAGCCGGTAGCATCGACTACTTTGATTTTGAAGCGATTGTTTTCCGGTGGCAGTGCATTGTAACTTTGATGCGGCCTGCTGGGTAACTCCACAGTGCGTATAGCACCACCATTTTTGATAAGCCACTCGGCGCACAGGCGATCAGGTCCTACTTGAAGCAAACGATCTGTGTCTACCCGGTTAAATGCTATGGCTACATAACCCCAGAGAGATTTTCTGGTTGCGCTTAATTTTAGTCCATTTGTGGTGAAATTTTGTAGTATTTTACTGCCAAAATGGTTGATTTGATGCAAAATTGTCATATTTTATATAATTTGTACGTGTATACTTCGATATTATTCCAAAATTCGCGTTTAAATAAATCGAAACTAAAAGAATTTCGCAATGAGTTGTTACTGTTGAATGATGAACAATGGAGATGAAAAAAAAAACAATAACAAGACAAACGAACGCCGGCATTTTACAACAATAACATTGAAAACAAACAATAACACAAGGCGAATTTACATAAGGTAGTATTATTTCAATCAGCTGACATTTTTTTTCACTTGACTCCTAGCTGTAGCTGTTAAAATTTATATTTTTGTATTTAAAAATTTCCGTTAAAACTGAGAAAATCTTCGTTAGTATTTTGAAGTATTTATGTAATAAATCTGCAAATACCAATAAGCATTTTGTAAACATAATACTATCTTCGAAAAAATCGCAACATAATCGTCAATAAATATTTATTATACATTACATTTCTAAACAAATAACATATTTTCGGCCACACTCAACTGATGCATCTCATCCATCATAATAGCGTATCTTATTCGCCTATAAATAAATCTTATTATACACCATATTTCTCAACAAATATAATTTTTTGGCAACTCACACTTAATTCCTTCTCACTTAATTTCCATGACGCAGTTGGGTAACTTTGCTTTCAAATTCTTTTCGACCTTTTTCAAATCCTTAACATAACGCATTTGGACTATCTTTAACAATTCCAATTTTGCCAATTCCCCAATAACCATTAAATCCTCATCGGTGATATTATCACAACCCGATACCTGCAACACTTTTAAGGTATTTTTCAAATACCTCAAGCCTTCTAAGCCATCCGATTCCAAATGTTTACACTGATGTATTATAACGGTGTCAATATGATGGCAGCCCTTAAAATGTTCCAAACCAATTTTCATGATCGAAGAGTTGGTAGCATCGACCATTTTTATTTTGAAATGATCATCTTCCCTGGGCAGCGCATTGTAATTTTGAAACGACCGATTGGGTAAATCTACAGTGCGTATAGCTCCACCATTTTTGATAAGCCACTCGGCACAGAGGCGGTCAGATCCTACCTCCTGCAAACGATTGCTGTCAACCTGGTTAAATGCTATGTCTACATATCCCCAGAGAGATTTTCTGGTTGCTGCCGAAGTAGCACTTAATTTTAGACCATTTTGTAGTATTTTACTGCCAAAATGGTTGATTTGATGCAACATTGTCATATTTTATACAGTATTTATATGTATGTACTTCGATGTTATTCCAGAATTCGCAATTAAATAAACCAAAATAAACAAATTTCTGCAATGACTTGTTGTTGATGAATGATGTACAAATAATAACAACGCAAATGAAGAAAACAATAGTAAGATACAAGAGAGCCGGCATCAGAGCCCTGCGCCGACAAATATTAACGACGGCGGCGACTGACACTAAATATGTCGGCGGCGGCTTAAAATCGACTGTAAGCCGGCTAAGTTTTCAACTACGTTTAGTTTTTTTTTTAGTTGCATGAGAAATTATGCATGGATGAATAAAAAATTCTTAAAAATTAAAAACAAATCCTTTCTCCAAGTTTTACTAGGATCTGCCGATATTTAACCCTATCTTCCATATAAAACATCTTGCAGAAAATCAGTTTCTAAAAAATTTTGCATTAAGAAAATGATCAATAACGTAAAAACAAAGATATTTTATTTGTTTATTTACTAGCTATACCCAGTGTGCTGTGCTATCCTAAAAGCAATATAAATAAGAATCCTACTTAACAATTTTGATGATTCTAACTACAATGGTTTTCCAGATATACAATTTGTTACATATGGGAGATTCCAAGCAAATTATTGCAATTTCGCCAATTATTCCGAACGTTAATTAAGATTTTAATTTAATCTATGAAAAATTTGAATAATCTAATAGTTTCCAGATATACAAAATTTTGTATTTAATTCATATGGGAAGTGCCAAGCCCCCCATTGAAAGTCCGCCCGTTATTCTCTAAATGTTCTTCAGTAAAATTTGAAGATTCTAGCTCTAATAGTCTCTCAGATATACGAATTTTTCTATTTAATTCATATGGGAGCTCCAAGCCCCCCAGATGAAAGTCCACCCTTTTTTCTCCAAAATGTTCAGATGAATATTAAAGTTGTTCGTGCAAAATTTGAAGAATTTAGTTATATTAGTTTCCCAGATAAACGAATTTTTGTATTTAATTCATATGGGAGGTTCCGCTCGCCTCAATGGTAGTCCCCCAGTTTATTACCCAAAATGTTTACATGGATGTTAAAGTTCTTCCAGAACAACATCATTTAAAGGGATCACAAAGAGATTGAAAAATATTCCAAAAGTTTCACTTTGAAAACATTATTAGAATGTATGAAAACTCGCAGTTCTAAAGGAAGACTATTCCTATTTTTGTGGTATTTTATGATTAAAATAAGTAAGAAGTAAGAGTTATATTCGGCAAATCATATGTCGTAAAAAAGCAAATTTCGGAAGTGGTCCGATCATTAGATTAATAAGAACGTCACCGTGATTTTCGGATTAGGGACTTAAATGTGGAATTGGATCAATAATATATATAATTAAAATTTTTTTTTAATTCTACCATAATTCTATCATAATGATAACTTTTAGAATGATGTATTAGCTATAAACTGATTTTCTGTAAGAGGGTTATATTGGCGGACCGATCCTCATAATTTTATTTTTCATAAATGTGGGTTTCGGTTCCTAAAAATGTTTATTTCGTCGACATCGACATTTGAAAGCCATTTATGTGCGTTTAAGTCATTTTCTGAAGAAGATTTCATTACATATTTTCGTTCCAACAAAAATTGTTTGATTATGGTATTATTAAGTACGTAGAAAACGTTAAAATCAATTATTGAAGGGCGCAGGGTCAACTATGGCCTATAGAGATTTCGATTGATATCGAGCCCTTTTTGCAAAATGGACGTAAGCGAGATAAATTTTCGTTCAATTAGGATACTGCGTGTTTAATTTTATGTTTATATATTCAATATTTTAGAAAATTCAAAAAGTACCAGTTAAAGAACGAAAAATTACCAGAAATACTCCAGTTTAAATTTTCATTCACTCAAGTCCTTGATTGCTTAGTTTTATGTTTTTAGGTTCATTATAAAAGAAAATCCAAATAGTACAAGTTGAAGAACGAAAAAGTACCAAAAAGTCCCGTTTTATATGTTCTCACTTACTCCATGTTCAATATTATAGAAAATTCAAAAAATACCTTTTGAAGAACGAAAAAGTACCAAAAAGTTCCCTTTTATATGTTATTACTTAATCCGGGCTGTACATTCCTAAATTCATGTTTCTAGGTTCAATATTATAAAAAATTCAAAAAGTACCAGTCGAAGAACGAAAAATAGAAAACTCAAAAAGTACCTTTTGAAGAACGAAAAAGTACCAAAAAGTCCACTTTTATAGATTCTCAAGTGCTTAATTACATGTTTCTAAGTTCTAAGTCAAAAAGTACCAGTTGCAACATCGTATTGGGAGCCCGTTATTATGTATTCATATGTATAAGTTAATAAACCAAAAACAATGTTTTATAAAAAAGTACCAAAAATAGGTACAATTTTCACCCCTTAAACGTCCGAATATCCAAAAAGTACTAAATTTATATTTTTATTTGTTCGTCAAGTTATGAAGGATTCAAAAATATTTTCTGAATGTTCTCTGGTTTAAAATATACATGGGGTGCAAAAGAAGTACCAAATTACAGTTTCTACCCGTTAATTCCCCAAAGGGGCCGAATTTGAAAAAAGTACCAGACACCTGCCCGCTTATTTTTTAAATGAACGACGATAAGCTTTAAACTGTCTTTGTATCTTTTATAGTTTAGGAGATATGAGGTTACCGAATTTACCCGTTTTTACCATTTTTAACCCCCTAATCATTCGAATTTCCAAAAATCCCTTCGAAGTGGATCTATTTGGTGGGAGACCAACCTCTTGTCTAAATTTCAGCTCTTTATATATACTGTAAAAACATTGTAATGTTCGACTTGAATTCAAGTTTCGTTTTCACTGGAGAATGCTATTGAATTAAAGTGTATTTCAACACTTGAAATTTGAATGTTTGACTGGAATTAAACTTGTTTTAAACTTTAATTCCAGCAAGAATGCTTATTTGGTATAGTGTGACAACTATAAGGGACCTAAAGTCGACATAAAGCCCACAATGGTTAGTACCAATATTTTGCCCAAACAACATCTACATACCTAGCCAGGTTATATCCTCTAGGTCCGTGAAGACATTCTCTACAAAGCTATAAATTTGTATAAAAGGCGGCTTAACAATTGTTTCTTGTAAATATTCGGCCACCATAGTGTTTGGAGACAACAAGAGCTTCACTGAAAGGCACACCAGACAGACATCGCGCTCTATTATGGGTGTATGGTAGTGATTCTGCTGAGATCAATGGTATAATAATAAGTATGTATCTCAAGGATACCCCCTGAATACGGCAATCAGCTTCCGTTCATTGCCTCTAGGTGATAATATACCATGTCACCACTAGCCGACCGACCACCACCCGCCTAGGTGACTAGGGAGGTATACAATTGCCACTCTCTTGTGGGCATTCTTCCAGGAGACCATCATGATGCCTCCTCTTTCTAGTTAGTTAGTTAGTTAGTTAGTTAGTTAGTTAGTTAGTTAGTTAGTTAGTTAGTTAGTTAGTTAGTTAGTTAGTTAGTTATTAGTTAGTTAGTTAGTTAGTTAGTTAGTTAGTTAGTTAGTTAGTTAGTTAGTTAGTTAGTTAGTTTAGTTAGTTAGTTAGTTAGTTAGTTAGTTAGTTAGTTAGTTAGTTAGTTAGTTAGTTAGTTAGTTAGTTAGTTAGTTAGTTAGTTAGTTAGTTAGTTAGTTAGTTAGTTAGTTAGTTAGTTAGTTAGTTAGTTAGTTAGTTAGTTAGTTAGTTAGTTAGTTAGTTAGTTAGTTAGTTAGTTAGTTAGTTAGTTAGTTAGTTAGTTAGTTAGTTAGTTAGTTAGTTAGTTAGTTAGTTAGTTAGTTAGTTAGTTAGTTAGTTAGTTAGTTAGTTAGTTAGTTAGTTAGTTAGTTAGTTAGTTAGTTAGTTAGTTAGTTAGTTAGTTAGTTAGTAGTTAGTTAGTTAGTTAGTTAGTTAGTTAGTTAGTTAGTTAGTTAGTTAGTTAGTTAGTTAGTTAGTTAGTTAGTTAGTTAGTTAGTTAGTTAGTTAGTTAGTTAGTTAGTTAGTTAGTTAGTTAGTTAGTTAGTTAGTTAGTAGTTAGTTAGTTAGTTAGTTAGTTAGTTAGTTAGTTAGTTAGTTAGTTAGTTAGTTAGTAGTTAGTTAGTTAGTAGTTAGTTAGTTAGTTAGTTAGTTAGTAGTTAGTTAGTTAGTTAGTAGTTAGTTAGTGTTAGTTAGTAGTTAGTTAGTTAGTTAGTGTTATTTCTTTAGTTCTTTCGTTAGTTTAGTTAGTTAGTTAGTTAGTTAGTTTATCTGCTAACCTACCGGTGGAGGTCTACTCTTTAATATATGCTACATTTTAGCCCAATAAGTACAATTAAAATGAATAAATGTGTACATCCCTGGCAACTAATACTTATACCTTAAATAGCAACGCTGCCTTAATAAGAGAACAGTTTTTTATTGTTTTTTTCATATTTTCCTTTTCATTCTTCATTCGTGTTTAATTTGTGCTCATAATAGCAAGTTTATGTGTATAACGCGGCGGGTTGTGACAATTTATAAAAGTTTTTTTATTCAATTAAAACAAAAATCTGCTAAGAAAATATAAATTAAACTATGAAAATAATAAAGAAAAGTTAATAAATAAACTAATACTTGTGACAAAATGTTATGAATAACAATAAAATCAAAAGAAAAACAAGAAATTGAATCTGAAAAATAAAAAGAAACAAAAAAGTATTTTAAGAGAATGTAATGAAAAATACAATAATTTAACAAAATAAATATAATTTTTGGTAAATAAACAAGTTGTGGAATAAATATTTGTGTTATAAAAAAGAAAAATGTGCATTTAACTAAATATTAACTAATATTTTAATATATTCAATATAATAAAAAACAACAGTCTGCCAGCCCAATTTAAAGTAAATCTTTTTTATTATTATTCCTTCATTTCCCTAACTTCGTGTGTTGTTATTTTTGTACGTAGTTTTAATGGTCTTTCTTTAATTTTTATTTTCGTCTTTGGATGTTTTTTTCTATTTCTAAGCGTTCGCGTGTGTGTGTAAGAAAAACTCCTAAAAGGAAAATATTAAAAGAAAAAAAAAAAATACATAAAAACAAATATAAAAAAGCATCATCAACATTTGAAATTTTGTAAACACCCTTCAATTTAAATCTGTTCTTATTTATTTGATTTATCCATGCTATGGAAATGAACATGTAAATAAAGAAATACAAAATCGGTTGAATGTGTGTGCATTTGAGTGTGTTACATGTACGTGTGAGTGATTTTTCCTATTGAAAATTTGTTGTGCGGTGCTGTTCTCCAACTTGCTCAGAGGGCCGAAAAAGTAGGTACAATATTGTAATTTTATTTTTGGTTCTATGTAAAATTAAAAGTACAAACACTTCCTGGTTTAAAATGTTTATAAAAGTTCTGCATACTTTTGGGTATAAATATCGTATTGATTTAAAAAAAAAGTCTTCTAGAATCTAGATAATTTTTACTTTGGACCCCCGGAAAATTGCATTTGAGGTATTTTGATTACAGTTTATTAATGGAAGGTCTTTTTTAATTATGTAAAGTTCCTTTCGAGTTGGTGGATTCCCAAGGGATTACAGCTCAAAAGATTTACTTAGTCAGTACCCTAAAAATAAAAAAATTAGAGAAATTCCATGTCCCCATATAAAGCCCAGTCGAAGAAGTGACTAACCTCCTTGATAAAACCTAGTAGACTGCTAGGGCTAAGACCCGTAATTTCCTATTCCCTCGCTATTTCCGCCTGGGATTTTGTATCCTAGGACAGTGGTAAATTATACACTCGATCGTCTCTACTTCTCATATTCGCATAACCCACAATAGTCCGTTATATTACTGTCCCACTTACTCACAAAGGCCCAAACTGAGCAATGCTCCGTTAGCAGTCCTATAAGTATTTTAGTAGCCCCTATATCAAATATTGGTTATAGGGCCTTTGATACTTTACAATCCAATCTACTATCACAGGACTGTTTTATGACTCTCGGATTTTTTCGAATATCAACCTATAATAGTGACAAATGGGTGGGTCGAACCTAATCTAACGATTGCCCCGGCACCCAACACAGTCTAAGGGCATTTAAATTGTCACAACTGACCGATATGATTCCTGATTTCCTTCGCTTTCCAGATCGCTAGAATCTCTGTTTGACAGACTCTACATTCGTCAGTCTATCTTGGACCCGTCAGTGAAAACTGCACACCCACCAAACAGTCTATCGGATACATGCCAATAATCCCTAGTTGGAAATTCTATCAGAGGCCTAGAATCGTATATCATAATCTGTAATTCCGCAAGGGGAATTACCACTTCGTACAGAATTTTTGTATGATTGTCGAGCGAAGGTTTGACTAACGAAGATTCATTGAGTCTTAATAGATTACCAGCTGCCACACCCGCTACAAAATGTTCTATAGATGACAGGTACAGAATGATGCACAAAGCCGCTTGTGGAGTGCTTCTAATGGCATCAGTAATGCCAATAAAGGCTCACCTTTGAGCTCTTCTAGATAAATTTGGTTTGACGTCATCTAACTTTAGCAGACTGAAATTCTCTACCTTATACCTACCTTCTGTACAGTCCAAGATGTCTCTGATGGTGCATAGACATCTTCCACGATCAGTAGCACCATGTCATCCGCAAAGACCTTCCTACCTTTAGATTCAAATAGCCTTAGGATACCGTTAACCGCTGGTAGCCACAGAAGAGGAGATAAAATACACCCCCTTGTTATTGTGACAAAAACAAATATCATAGTACTCGTACTCGTTGTCTGGAAACAGGCTAAAAATGTGTGCTAAAAAAAGTACACAATTTTTGCACAATTCCATATTTTCATTTTGCATCCCTGACACACCATATCTATGACATATTAAATTCGAGTGACGTTGATCTTATTTTCCTTTATGTTTTGTTTCATATTTCTATTACACAGTTTGTTATTGCTAGTTTTTTGCTTTGTTTTTCCTACTTTCTGCTCTACCCCCAAAGAAAACATCAATGTGACAATTAGTCAATAATTATGGTAGAACAAAAGCAACATTTAAAAGAATTAGTAAAGAGAGCATTAAAAAAGAAAATCCGCAAAAACCAATTCACACTAATGTTTAGAAGAAAATGTTTAGCAAAAGAAAATAAAGAAAGAAAAATCACAAACATTTGTGTGTGTATACGATATGAAATTTCTAACAGCAGCGCAGCAAGTGGAGCGGGTCATAAAGATAAACAAATAAATACATAAATCTATATACATATATAAAAATGAATGTGTGTTTGTTTGTATGTTTGTATGTTTGAACGTTATAGACTACTAAACGGCTGAACCGATTTTCTTGAAATTTTCACAGCATATTCCTGCATGTCTGGAATAGGTAATAGGCTACTTTTTATTTCGAAATTTCAAGTGGGCGATGAGCCACGCCCACATTAAGAAAATATAAAATCCGTATATTTTAGATAATATAACAGTTAGAGTCCTCAAATTTTGTCGGAGCCACTTTAGTGTCAATATGATCATTTAGGACAAAAAGTAGGCGGACTAGCATTAGGGGGCGTGGTACCTCCCATATAAATTAAATACAAAAATTCGTTTATCTGGGAAACTAATAGAACTAAATTCTTAAAATTTAGCACGAAGAACTTTAACATCCATATAAACATTTTGGGTAATAAATTGGCGGACTACCCATGAGGGGAGCGGCACCTCCCATATTAATTAAATACAAAAATTCGTTTATCTGGGAAACTAATAGAACTAAATTCTTAAAATTTTGCACAAAGAACTTTAACATCCATATAAACATTTTGGGTAAAAAATTGGCGGACTACCCATGAGGGGAGCGGCACCTCCCATATTAATTAAAAACAAAAATTCGTTTATCTGGGAAACTAATAGAACTAAATTCTTAAAATTTTGCACGAAGAACTTTAATATTCATCTGAACATTTTTAAGGAAAAAAGAGCGGACTTTCATCTGGGGGGCTTGGAGCCCCCATATGAATAAAATAGAAAAATTCGTATATCTGAGAAACAATTAGAGCTAGAATCATTAAATTTTACTTGAAGAACTTTGACATTCACCTGAACATTTAGAATATAACGGGCGGACTTCCAATGGGTTACTTGGTACCTCCCATATGAATTAAATACAAAATTTCGTTTAACTGGGAAACTAATAGAACTAGATTCTTCAAATTTTGAACAAATTATTTTAATAATCATCTGAATATTTTGGAGGAAAAAGGGCGGACTTTCATCCGGGGGGGCTTGAAGCCCCCACATGAATTAAATTCGTATATCTGAGAAACTATTAGAGCTAGAATCTTAAAATTTTACATGAAGAACTTTGACATTCATGTGAACATTTAGAGAATAACGGGCGGACTTTCAATGGGGGGCTTAGCACCACATATATGAATTAAATACAAAATTTCGTGCATCTTGGAAACTCTTATATTATTCAAATTTTTTGTAGATAGATAGAAATTGGCGATAGATAGAAACTGGCGAACTTGCAATAATTTGCTTGACATCTTTTATATGTAACATACCTATAATAAATCTGGTATTTATTTATACATATTCCTTTTAGGGTAGCAAAGCACACTGGGTATAGCTAGTAAATAAATAAATATTCAAACGCAGACATACAGACTGTGATGGTGGTGTAGTACAACAACAACAACAGCAATTGCTAGTATGAACAAAAAACAAGAACAAAACTAGTACTACATTTAATTAATTGTTTTTGTTTATTTTCTCGGTTTTTGTTTTGTTTTTTCTTCTCTAAGGTTGGTTGACTATTTGTCACATTAAACTACGACAACAACAGCAACAACACCAATAAGCAAAATCAACAAATATAAACAACAAAACTATATTTTTATGGTTGCTGTCAATAATTATTTGTGCAACGAGGTAAGTTTTCTATACATTTCATATCTTGTTTTTACTTGAAACATATAATTTTTTATCAAATTTTTTTCAACAATATGTGCTTTTTTCAATGTTCTTTTTTCAATGTTTTTTTTTTTTATAAATTTTATGAAAGGGGTAGTATGTTTCTGATATTAAAGTTTTTGCTGGCAATTATCGATAATTGTTATTTTTTTATTAATTCTTGTTAAATCACGATGATTTCATAGGTTTTATTTAATGTATTGCAAGTTTTTTTCTATAATTATTATTTTTCTATTAAAGTTCTTACAAAATTTTTTATAAATAGGGAATTTCCAAAGAGTGAAGTTTTTTCTATACAACTAGACCTAAACAATATTAGGAATATGATAAGTTATTTAATGTGAATTTTGTATAACGTTATCGTCTAGACTCTAGAGTATAAGTTTACTTGCACTTTTTATCATTACATGGTTTCCAAATAGAGTTCACATTCCTTGATTCAGAATCCTTTCGGTATTGCTGTTAAACTTTGAAGGACGGCTGAACTAACGTTGCAACAGAGCAAAAGATTAAATAAATCTTCTAGCCCTGACAGCATTATAGCAGCTGATTGATTTCATTCCATATCTAAATCTTGAATGTATGTGTACTTAGTGCAGGACCGGCAAATCGTTATTTTACTTTTGGTTCTGGCCAAACTGCCGTTAAAATAGAGCAAGAATTTTAATAGAACTTCGAAGCCTTCGGCATTATACCAAGTGGTATTCAGTATAATGCAAATAAAGGAGTAATATTCCTTTATTGATTCCAATATACTCAGCCTGTGTTTAATGGTATTATACTCGTATATATGAATCATGAACGAAGTTTCATCATTGATGTTAATCTTTTAGTTTTGACCAAACTGAAGAAGTAATTGAACAACAGATTCAATAAATTTCCGGGTAGTGATGGAATTAGATAGTTATACCAAAAGATAGATATGTATACTCGACCTGCCTTGGGTGATCTTATATGCCAGAATCATCCCTGAAAGAGTAAAAGCCTCTAAAACTAGAACGAAAGATTTGAGACCTATCAGTATTGTCAGTTTTACTTTTAAAAAACTTGAAAAAGATTATTGATTTACATCTTAGATCAACAATATATCCAATTCGTCAATTGACACTGCTTTCTTCCCAGGGTTCTTCTTGGATAGCATGTTAATAAAGTCGATTGTATTCGATGTTAGCCATCCGATAATACTATTAATGTATAGGTCAAATAGGACATAATATCCACTGAATGCTGAAACGAGGTAAAATACAAGGCAATGTTCTATCTCTTCTCCTATGGAATCTCGTCATGAATTCATCTATCTTCATATGCCTATAAATAAACTTTAAACTCCTGGAAAAACTTAAGTTTGAATAAGTTTGACATAAGCCTCTGATATTATGTAATAGCTGGACATCAATTTAGATTCTAAACTATAATGGATTCTGAATATCTATACAAAAGCTTATATTGAAAGGAATTGGTACCTTAGATTAGGATTTCGAAATGGTTATTCGAAATGATGATGATTTAGATAAATCCTCTCATTGCATATTGACGATCCCATTGTACCATTATATAACCGCTCCGGAACCAATCACAGCAACAGCTGTATCTTCCGAAAGTTTTTTTTCGCCAGTGATAAACTTCCATGAACAGCGAAACTGCAAAAATATTATGTGAACCTAATGATTACAGGAGCGATAGGGAACTTGCTATTATGTGCGCCTACAATCCTAACCATATATGTAGATCACGAGTCCATTTTGGGTAACATTATACAAATGATTGATAATAAAAAGACAAATCTCTTGAGATATAATAAGAATGAGTTTTAAACATATGGAACCAATTCTTTATTAGGTTTTGAAGGCGACATTTATATCCCTTGTTTTAACTAAATAATGAGTTTCAGGTTACACGATCACTGGAGCGTCAATCAGGCTTAAATTTTTGCCATGAAATAGCCAATCAATTGCATAAGATATTATAGGATATACAATAGGAATATCCAAATTTGTACTGACATCAAGCCTGCAGTTAGATTGGTGAGGTCACAAACCTTAGAAAGCTAGTTCTGTTCTTAATACTACAATCATACGCATATAGATCATGCCTTCATATTGGGTAACATTGTACAATTCAAAATACGGATAATGTAAGAATTAATCTCTTGAGATAATAATAAGATCGAGTTTTAAACATGTGGAAACAATTCTTCAATGGTTGTAGAAAGGGACTTTTTTTATCCCCTATTTTAATCAAATAATGAGTTTCAGGTTCAGGCACGATCATTGTAGTGTAAAGTAAAGTTTACATTTCAGTCATGAAACGGGCGGTTAACTGAGTGAGTTACTATAGGATGTACAATAAAAATAGCCGAATTTCTACTGCTGGAAAGACTTCTATTAGAAGTTTGTCTAACGTCTTCACGATGTCAATATTGGTGTCAGGCTTCACTTGATAAGATGAAGAATCAAACTTATTCTCGAATATGAGGAAGGAAAATGGACACATTACTTTACGATGTTCATAGTAGGCTTACGGCTAACGATACAGGATTTGAATTTTCTATATATTCACTGCAATTGTCGGGCTTTGTCAGCAATCACGATTTCCTCGCGAGCAGATATGGTTATTGAAATTTCACGAGGAAACAGTTTAGATTAAAAGCCAAACGAATATTATAGAATTTGTCTAATGTGTAGAAGAGAATTGAGCGATATTTCCTATATTCACAAACGAGAGTTAAATGAGAGTCTAGAGTATTTGAGATATATGCGATATAGAGATATATGCGATATAATCGAAGCTGTGGCCGTACGGCAGATATTTGAATGAACTTTTAATTAATATAGTTTTAAAACCTTTCCAATAGTCAAAGTGATTCCATTTTAGCGATTTAGCATCCAACTTCGTCAATGGTCTATTTGAAATATTCTTTAGTTAGAGTTGTACCTTCGAAAAACATTTGGAACATTTAAATATCCCCTTAGGAAGGGAAAGAAGATGAATGCTTCAGTGTTGGTCAACTTATGTTGAAAACACGTTATGAAAACAGTTTAATGCCACAATTTCTTCAGTTCTCAAGAATGTTGCTTTTTTCACCACCTTTCTTATTGGATTTTCAACTTCGATAGATCAAACTTAATTTATGACTTAAATTCTTTAATCTTTAAATCTTCTCTTCTTTCAAGTTCCACAAAATTTAATTTATTTTCACTAAAATTTTATCAGATTTTAATTTTGAATTCATACGTTACGTTTCCGTTACATCTTGTAATTTCTTTCTTACTAGAACATGACAAACTACAAACTTTTTTTTTTTTTTTTTTGATTTAGTGTTGGCTTTTAAGATCTTCCACATTCGTCATGAATAATTTATAATTCATTGTAGTTTAGTTTATCCATGTCATTAAATAACAAAAAAAAAAAAACGAATTGCATTAATTTGTCTTCAACTTGAAAACAAGTTTAACATTTTTGCACTGTTTTTAGATCTTGCTACAATTTCAGCTGTCACAATTTATATATTCATCTCTCTGCTGCACTCATTTAAGATTGAAAAGCATAAGGTAGCAACTAAAACCAAGATACAATTGTTATTACTTAGTTTTTTTTTTTTTAAATTCGCATTTTTATTTCACATTTTTACCTTGAATTCATGTGTATTTAATTTAAACTTCAACTCGACTGAATTTTGAATTCTTTATAGAGTTTAAGCTTCTGCTGTTGTCTGCATATTTTGTATAAATTTATTTATGTATATATGCTGCTATGTATCTAATCTTAAAAGGTTTTAATAACAGTTTAAAAGTGTTAAAATTTTGACAGCATAATGTTCCCTCTTTAAGAGACAAGTTAACGCCTTAACCAAGCAGTTAGTTTATAGGTATGTGTTTCTTTTTTATTCCTACTTCTTTAAGAGTTCTTTTAAGAGTCCTTTATACAAGTATAGGAAATAGTATATGTTTTGATATATGCATGACTCTATGTGTCTGTATGTAGCATTGTTATGAACCATAGGAATAAATACCAATGAATGCTGCAACATCAGGACAATGCCTACACGTCTGAATATCAAACTTTTATATTTATACATACATATGTGTGATATATACATATGTCTGTGTATCCTAAAGGGAAAAATATATTCTATTTTTGCACTCTACATTCTGCAGTGCATTCTGGTATGGGAAAATGTTGTTAAATTATAGCTTTTAAAGGATTTTCACAGGATTATCGAGGAGTCACTTGACCAGAACGGAAGTTGAAACTGTTATTGACATTTCTCTAAGAATTAAGGCAAATCTTATTGTTAAATGTATGAAAAAGAGTGCAAGATCTCTAGGCAAAATCAAGAAGATCAGGCGAGAAACATTTTCAGACTACTGAGAAACCTAAGAGCGTAGATATGGGTTCATTCGCATTCATTGGCAACTACACTCAAATACTGCCAAAAACTCATAATTATTTTGGATACAATCAATGGATTTTGGATATTATCAAAGTATAGCGGACTAAACGGATAACATACTTAGGGGCATTCTCTTTAATATCAAAAAAAAAAAAAAAAAAAAAAAAACGCTTGAATACAAAGTGGTCTTCCTGGATATAGAAGGCGCCTTCGATATAATGATAAGTGAATCGATTGGAAATAATATCCACTATGGGCAATATCACTACGTACAGGCAAAACCAGCCCGAAAACAAGGTAGGGTTTGGTCACCTCTTATTTGGAACATTGTCATGAACTCTCTGTTAGTGAAACTCTATGATCTACGCATCAAGATTTGGACTACAACATACATAATGACTTCTATGGAAGTTATCATGTTATCATGGAGTAAGCTTAGCGATCATGTCATTGACTTATAATAGGAGATATTAGCGATTCTTTGACGATTTTTCAGTATTATTCGGAATAAGGTTAGAATGTCTTAATGGCTATATCAGACTCAGGAATTGGTTAAGTGACCCAA